CCTTTCGCCGAGCAGGACTTCTTGAATATGTTCTTCAGGGAAATTTACAAGCCAATTCCACCAATTTACAACCTGGTTTTGGCCATGCTCTGGCGGCATCCAGAGAACATCGAGCTGGAGAAAGTGAAGGTGGTGCACTACTGTGCCGCCGGGTCCAAGCCGTGGAGGTTCACTGGAATAGAACAGAACATGGACAGGGAAGACATCAAGACGTTGGTGAACAAATGGTGGGATATTTACAATGACAAGACACTGGATTACAAGAATTATGTGGTTTCCGGTGAGGATGAGGCGGTGAGCTGGCAACCGTTCCTGGCGGCGCTGTCGGAGGCCGGCGTTGTTCACCACTTTTCAGCTCCATCCGCTGCGTAATTGGTGGTTCCGGTGGAGACGCAGATTAATATGTGATTAAGTGATTTTTTATTTTTTAGCCTTTCTCTTTTTTATAAAATGGAAGGCTTTTCTAGTCCTATTTCATAGGAGTGCGGACTGTAGAGGACACGGTTTCGTCTTTTTATTTTTTATTTTTTGAAAAAAATAATCCATATTAAGTGAATGTAAATTAAAAAGTAGAATTTATAAAGGCCGAATATGTAATTTACAAAAAGTGGTCCGTATTAATTTAGAATCAAAACCATTAGATGTGGGGATATATATCTATTTCTTTTTTTTTCTTTTTTTCTGGATGTAATTGTTTTGGATTTGTTTTACAATAAACAAATATTTTCTGTGCATACTTTTCTTTCTTTAAATTTTTTTCTTGCTTACCATGGAATCTATTCTAATTATCGCTATTTGTATCTATTCAACCATTTTGTAGTTGCTTCCATTTTCAACTTAAAATTCAAGGGCGTTTTAGAGAGAATAACTGATTAAGATTTTAAAATTTTAAATTAAAAATAAGAGTTTTAAAATTTTAATTAGTGTAATCGATGTGACAGGAATTAGAAATTTTTTTTATATATAATCTGTCAATAGATTAAATTGTAAAAACATAGAATCTTTAGATTTCTTTGAGAATGTTCCTTTATACTTTAATTTTTTATTTTTATATAATATTTTATTATTCTAAATATATATAATATAAATTAAAATAAATATTAAATATATGTATATATTTTTAAAATATTAAAAAATAAAAAAAATTATAATTACAGTTATAATTTAGTACTCTCAAATTAAGTCACGATCGATTGCGCTAGCCAATTTGTGAACGCCAATTTGCCAACCAATTTTGGCGACTTTGAAATTTGGATAAAGTTGTGTGATGGCTAAAGGCATGTTAGATGAAGTATCGAGAGCTCAAGTGGAATAATACGCGACATGGAGATCTAAGTTTTCAAAAGGTAACAGCTTCCTACTTAGGAAGATAGTGGGGTGTTTAGTGAGATTAGACAAAATCAAAATTAAATAATGAAGTAGGTTAGCGAAACCCTTCATCCCTTTTGTTCCGATTTTTATTTTTTTTAATTCTTTGTTTCTCTCCCTTTTTTTAATGATTTTATTTTATTTTTTAAGGGTTTTTTAAGGGTTCTTGCTTTCCCTTAAAGCTTATGAAGGAGTTCATCTCATTAGGTATAATCTATATGGGTTTTATCATTATTTTATATCTCTTTTATTGAAGATTTGGAGGACTACAAGTGATTGGTATGAGTTATGAAATTAGTATATACTAATTTTAATTTTTAAAATAATTTAAAGTTTTAATTTATATTTAAAAATTAAAATTTTAATTCAAAATTTAAAAATTTAATCGTTTTTTAAATTTAAATATTAATATTTAATAAAATAACTTTTAAATTTTAATTAAATAAAATGACATAATTTAATGTTAAAATTTTAATTTTAAAAAAAATCGAGGTTGATATGCATTTATCTATATATATATCTATATATATAAATAGAAAGAGTGATTTTTGCCTAATGTTTTTTTTTTTATAAAGAACTTTTCTATGAATATTATATTTTAATCAATATTTTAAAAGTTTAATTATTAAATTAAAATTTTTATTAATATAAATCATATATATTAATTTAATAAGCCTAAATAATATGTTAATTACATAAAATTTTAACATTATTAAATATATATTAGTAAATAAAATTTTTATAATCAAAATGATATAAATATTAAATTAATTTAAAGTTTTGACAAGTATTATTTATATAAATAAAATATTCAAATTGAGCCTTAGACTCAATGATTTATCTATAAATTTTAATATTTAGGTGTAATTGATCAAAATTCGATTTTCATCGATTGCATGAAAAATTTTCCATTCCTTTATAATTCCCTATATTCAGAACAAATTAATAAGATATTCAATATAATGATGACATTTATGATAAAAATATATCCTAAAAATATAAGTTAAGAAAAAAAATTATATATTTAAATACCATTTCACAGTTTAATTAATTAAGTAAAAAACATGCTTTCCATATAATTCCATTCCATAGTGAGTTTGGCAGTGGGGGTAGGTGTTGAATTAGTCTGCATGGCAGTGCGGTCCACTTGTGTGTGTCTGAAAGTGACTTGAAAACAAAAACGAAAGCAGTATGTAATTTCCAGAGAAATAATTGATAAATGACAATTATAAAGCTTGACTTGACTCCTCTAAATTCCACAAGTCACAAATATTTGTCTTTTTATTCATTGTAAAATAAACATTAGCAGCCACTGCTAGTGGTTGCTAGCAATAACGTCATGATTTTTATGGATCCGGCCGACGACCGTGGGGTAGGCCGAACCAATCTACAGTCTTTGCAATTAAGAACACAGCAAACTCCATACCCTCTTATTGGGAAGTTAGTACAACATTGATTAAAGTGCCAAACACAAAGATGAGCAATAAAATTTCACCCACGTGACCAACGAGATATATGGGTTAATCACATAATGACATATAGTATTGATATAATAAATGAGAGTTATAAATAATTTTTTTTAATTTTTATCAAATGTAATAATTTCATTATACTTCCTTCTTTATAATATTTAGTATTCAAGAGTTTCTCTCTCTAAAATAATTAGTTATTGCTAATTTGAGTAACAAAATGTTTTTCTTCAAAACAAGTACCAAAACAATTCCGAACTTTAATAGTGCTAAAGGTTTTTTTGATACATTAGAGAAAATTAAATGGAACTAAGACAATAAAAAACTAAAACCGGAGGAAAGAAGCCCCCAGTTGATCCCCTGTAAGGATTGGCCGCAAGCCAGTTGGAGGGAAGTCCAATAAACTTAGACCCGCTTGTGGAGAGTGTCCAAGAGACACTAGGAAGTCGGTAGCAGTGTTTCCCTCTCGAAGAGTATGCTGCAGTATGCATTCTTCAAATTCAAACATCAGGTTCTTAATATCCATCAAGACTGCTGCAGATAAATTATCTGACTCTCTGTTCTCATTTAAATAATTCTTTAATATGAATAAAAATGAAAGAAATAATACTTACATTATACTCCCGAGCCTGCTCATCAATATATGTTGGAATTTTATCTTTATCCTTTAGATAGTGCATTTTTTTTTGCACAAATCACATCAAACGAATGATGGATCCCTATGTTCAAGATCTTTTTCTTTTTGCAATATCACATATTCAATTATTATGTTAATTCACACAAACATTACAATTAATATTTAAATTAATTATTATATAAATTATTATATGAAACCTAAAAGATAAAGGTAACATTTTTACCATTTTTTGCACAAAGTCATCATAATCCATAGATCCACCTATGTGGGTTACCCAAAGGCCTTTGGCTCAATTTTGCTTTGCTTGCTCTCTATCCGCATTGAATTACAGATCCTCCGTCCATATGTACTTTAGCTTCTCCCAAAACCTCATTAGACATGTATGGCCTTTTTTTTTTTTGTAAAATTCTTCTTTCTACATGAAGTCTAGATATCAGTTATCATTCAATTATATCATTTCTCACAAACATGTATAAATGCTATATGTATAGCACCTTCCTTAGCAGGGTCCCACTCATACCTATTCTATAAATATATATATATATATTTATATAGAAGTATAATATGTTCATATATTAATTGATTCATATAAGAAAATGCATATCTATAAATAAAAACATATCATTATAAATTACAAACTCGAAAAGCTTGCCCATACACTTCCTTCATTTTAACAAGAGTTTGATTTTCTTTCCATTTTCTTATTTTCTAGAATCCTTGGTTTCTTAATAGAGTAATGGCTGTACATTTTCTAAAATTGTGAGCAAATCGGTTGCGAAAGGTTTTACCCAAGGTTATTGGGGAGCAGCAGATGGCATTTATTGGGGGCAAAGAACTAGTGGATGGTTTTGTGATTGCAAATGAAGTTATTGATGAAGTCAAAAGGAAGAAGAAGACATGTTTCATATTTAAAGTTGACTTCAAGAAAGCATATGACAAAGTGTGTTGGGAGTTTATTAGTTATATGATGATGCGGATGGGATTTAATGCAATATGGAGGAAATGGATACTAGAATGCCTAAGCTCAAGCTCGGTTTCTGTTCTTATTAATGGAAGCCCAACGAAACAATTCTCGGTCAACAAAGGCATACAACAAGGAGACTCGTTATCGCCTTTCCTATTTTTGATTGTGGCAGAAGGGTTGAATGGATTAGTAGCCTCAACAGTGGAGAAAGGATTATATAAAGGAGAGAGGGTAGGTAGTGAAGGTGTCATGGTGTCACATTTACAGTTTGCGGATGGCATTATATTCTTCGGGGAAGCATTGGATGACAACATATGGGCAATTAAGGCTATTATGAGGACCTTTGAGCTAGCTTCAAGACTAAAGATCAACTATGGGAAAAGCCAATTAATGGGGGTGGGAGTAGAGGAAAGATGGAGAGCTGAAATGGCATACAGATTGTATTGTAAAGAAGGAGAACTACCATTTAAATATCTGGGAATCCCCATTGGCAGGAACAATAGAAGGACAGCCATGTGGCAACTAATGGTGCAATCATTTGAGAAGAAACTAACTACCTGAAAGGGTCGACACCTTTCTATGGGAGGTCATATCATGCTCCTCAATTCAATATTGTCTTCTCTGCCCATGTTCGTAATGTCAGTCTATTTAGTCCCAAAAGGTACACTCCATTCCATTGATAAAATTCATAGACGTTTTTTATGGGGTGGGGGAGGGGGAAAGAAAAAAATAAATAGGGTTAGTTGGGGAAATGTGTGTAAAAGAAAAGAATATGGAGGGTTGGGAGTGAGAGAATTGAGGAAGTTTAACCTGGCTTTGATAGGAAAATGGTGGGGGTGGCTAGCAAAAAGAGAAGAGGGATTATGGAAGAAAATAATTGCAGAAAAATACGGTAAGGGAGGGAAACATTGGATGGATTGGATTAAAGAAAACAATGGAGTAGGATCACTATGGTGGAGAGATGTGTGTTGTCTCAATATAGTGAATGAGGAGAGTGTAGGATGGTTGACAGAAGGCTTTAGAATGAAGATTGGGAGGGAAATACAGCTAGTTTTTGGTGGGATAGTTGGGGAGGGGAGGGATGCCTTGCTAATAAATTTCCTAGGCTCTATCTTCTATCAATAGGAAACGAAAGTATGTGCAATCAAATAGGCAACAATAGGAACAGATCATGGGAGTGGAAGCTAACATGGAGAAGAAATCTATTCGAATGGGAAGCTGAAGAGGTCGCGGAACTCAAAATGATGATAGAGGGAGTCAAGATAACTCAAGGACGCCCCGATAAATGGGAATGGATTCATGACAAGGAGGGCCATTACTCAACAAAAACAGCGTACTCTCTATTAACAAATGAACAAGAGAAATAGCTGGAACTACAATCTTCAAAAAAATACGAAATCCAACTCTTCCGACTAAAATATCAGCATTCAATTGGCAATTACTGTTGAATAGAATACCAACAAAGGTGAATTTGCTGAGAAGAGGGATAGTTAAAGACATGGGGGAAAGCAAGTGCGTTATATGTGAAGAACAAGAAAAGGACTTAGCGCATCTGTTCTTAAGGTGCATGGTGACTCGATGGTTGTGGGAAGCTTGCGCCAAATGGTGGGGGATCGAGGCAACACTTGACAACAACCATTGGAAGACTTTTGAAAAGTTTGGAGAATGGAGCAAAGAGCCATGAACCAGGCAAGGATGGGATTGCATATGGAACATGGTTGTGTGGACTGTAAGGCTTGCTCGCAATCAAAAGGTATTCCACAACAAAGAGATAAATGCGGGGAAGTTGCTTGAACTTATCCAACTGAGATCATTGCTATGGATTAAAGCAAGAAAAGATAGGCATGCCTTTACTTTAACAGATTGGCTAATTAATCTTGTTGCATGCATGAAAGATGAGTGTGGAGGAAGGAAAGACACCAAAGTAAGGGTTGGTATGAAAGAACTGAGCTCTTGATTGATTTTTTATTAGTGTAAAATGGGTTGAGTACCCCTTATACTCTTTTCAATAATAAAAATTCCTTTGCTGTTCAAAAAAAAAAAAAATAGAGTAATCCTCTCTACGAGCAGTGCCTAGAAAGTTCCAAGTGGCCAACAGAGCTTAGTCCTAAGCCTTCATCCTTCTATAGTGTCAACATGTTTGTGTTTGAGCCCAACACCTCCATCTTAAATGATCTATTGAATACCCTTAGAAGCATCATTCGAGTCCAGCTAATCCTTTTTGCAGAGAAGGTGACCTAACTTAATGGCAAAAACCTACTTTTAGCTCTTTACCTTAATAAGTTTGTAGGTTTTTAGCTCTTCACCTATACGAATTGAAGAAAATAGCCTTATTTAATATCTTATTAGTTGACCATTGATTTTGTTAACTGACTGTTAGCATTCCATTATAGAAAACATTGAAATTTAAATTCAATTTTATTTGTTAGTTTCGTTAATGAAATACTAACAGTCAACTAACAGAGTTAACAGTTAGCTAAAAGAACTAATAGTCAGCTAACAGAATTAATAATCAACTAACAGAATTAACAGTCAGCTAACAGAATTAACAATCAGCTAACAAAACTAACAATCAGTTAATAGAACTAACAAAATGTTAGAACCTAAGGTTAAGTAAGGGTTATTTTCTTCAATTTGTATAGGTAAGAGGCTAAAAGTGTCATAGTATAAGGTCAAGGACTAAAACCTACAAATTTATTAAGGTGAAGGGCTCAAAATAAGTTTTTGCCTAACTTAATCTGATCATCATTTCAATTTTTTTAATAAAAAATTTAAGAATCTTAGTGGGTTTTCTTTTTCTCACTTAAAATATGAAACATCAGGTGACATAACTTAGTGTTATTATAAGGGACAGAGTTAGAAAATTTACTTAAGGGGTGAAAATTAATATTAAAGATTTTAGTTTTTAAGAATATATTTTATGATAGCCAATAACTTAAGTAATTTAGTGGTTATCTTCTTCCGTTGAAAGTCAGAAGTCTTGAGTTTGAATCGCATAGCATGTGGGTGGGGTGAGATAAGGGATGAAAGGTTGTTGCCTTCCATTATGCAACCAAGATCAAAAGAGAGAGAGAGAAAAAAGAGAGTATATTTTATTATACTAATTTATTTTCTTTTAAATCTTTTTTCCTTATAAGAAGATTCACTTGTGATCCTTTCTATTAATACATTCTTAACAAAAATTAGAAATAAATTTATATATTATAATAAGATATAAAATATTATAG